TTTTAGAAATGCCTTGATATGCAATTCTCTTTGTTCCCGACCATTAAAAACTTCTTGAAACTACTTCCACATTGGAACTACAGAATCACAGTAACCTAGGCCTATGTCCTGGGTCACAATCACCCAAATTTAGGTCCAGAGTCTCTTACCCTCTTAAAGTCTCTTACTTGTAACACGAATTAATAAACAACCCAGAGACTGATATTGGGATTCGAGCTTCAAGCTGAATATTAGAAAAGCAAAGCAACTGGACACTAGCTCCTTACCTCTACCTCAGGCTGAATGAGCTGCTCCTGTCTCCACAAGCTCTCACTGAGCCTCAGACTGTAACCTTTCCTCAGCGTGGCTGGAGAATGAATCTCTCTACTGGGACCTTGCTTCTTTCTTATATGTTTCCCTAATGTTGGGATTGAAGGAGTGATCTATAATTCTCTTTTAGACTGATTCACTCTATTGTAGATCTGGGTGGCCTTGGACTCACAGAGATATGTCTATCTCTTAATCCTGGGTCCTACGATTAAAGGTGTGTACCATCACCTCCTAGCTTCTGGCTGCTGGGATTAAAGGTGTCTGCCTGGCCTCTATAGCTTATGGCTAACTTTGCTTTCTGATTCCTCAGGCAAACTTTAATAAACCATAAACAATATGTCACCACACTTACTCTCCTTGAGGTGAGAGCTGTGTTGCTGCAGAACCCTTGACTGGTTTATTCAGGCTAGTGTCCCATTTGTGTAACTACAAAGCCATTTCTTGACCCTATCTAGTGACATTTACTGATGCTCTAGCAGTAAGTAGGCCAGATGTGATCAGCAGAGCAGCAGTGTCCACACCTCCTGGGTGTTGTAGAGACAGAAAATCTAGAACTGTTTCTCAAATCCAGCAAATTGGTACCTCTGCAGTTTTAAGGACTCAACAATTACTAAAGAGCTTTCTGGTGATGCTGACTCCTGCTAGAGTTACAGAATCATTGTCTTAAACTTTAAGCTGAAAATGCTGATTTTGGAACATTAAAGGGAATGCTGTGATAATACATTCATTCACCCCAAAGTCAACTAACAAGAAGTGAACACCCAGTAAGGGCCAGACTCTGCTTTGGTGATTTGAGATCATCAGCAAGGGTCTTTAGTGACTAGGGGATATATTACATCGAACCTCCAGGGAAGCCTTTTGAGAGGCAGATTCCCTGAATCCTCCCTTACTATGTGAGACTTGCTCCTATGGGCCACACCACCCATAGGAATATGCTTAACTCCTGCACATTCATTGCCTAAGCTGGTACAATGAATGTGCAGGAGTAACACTTAGGCCATGCTACCTGGATGATTTCATTTCATTATGAACATCCTCTCAGCTACTGAAATAACTGCTAGTTACCATGATGCCTGTCTCCTAGAATGCAATCATGCATGGGCTTGGGATTGGTAGGGACAATTTATCAAATAGTAGTGACAAACATCCCAGCAAGTGGCCTGTTGTCTGGCTGTTCTCATGGTTCTCATCAGGAGGGCTGTCATTGCTTTCTCTGCTTTAAAATGCTGTGTGTCTGAGATCTGTCACTCACCATCCATCCATCCAAGACACCGATAAGCATGCATTTGAGAGTGAGACAAAAGTATGGGGACTCCTGGTGAGGGGTGGGAGTGGGGAAAGCGTGAAAGCAAGGAATACAAGAACATCTACCACATGGCTTCTCTACCAGCCTGCCACCTGCCCATCAACTAGCCCCTGGCAGGTTGCTGGCAGCCTGGAGCCAGGAGCATACAGCTGTTCTTCTCCTGCTAAGAATAGCAAATTTGAAAGATCACCAAGGAAACACAGGAGAGAGAGAGAGAGAGAGAGAGAGAGAGAGAGAGAGCTCGTCCACGACTAAGCCCAGAAGAGTGGGAAATGGCAGTTTACTATAGGGTTGAAAGCACATGAACCCTGCTTTCTAATACAGTGACCAACTAAGAGTAAAAGCCGGTAATAGCTCATTGAAGGAGAAGATGACACAAGAAAGAACAAACATCACATTACAAAGACAGCCAAGGTCAGGTGTGTCCTTGCTTGTTCTCTGGTGGCAGTCCTTGGAGAGTTGCTGCTTGGAGACCAGCACCTCCACACTCTGCTGGTTTCCCTGGTTTCCGCTTCCAGCAGTGCTCAGCTAGCTCCTCAGCAGCATGTCTGATGCCAGCCATTACTAAAGGAAGGAGAGGTACCAGAGCCTAGATTTGTTCTATTCTTAACAGAGGATATGAGGCTACTCTTAACAAAGGGTATGAGGATATTTTACACAAACAGACTGTCTGTATATTAAGGCCTGGCATCCTTAGCAAACAAAGAATTTTCTATAATTGACACACCTATGATGTAAAAGCTCAGAAATGAACTTTAAGCAATAAAGCTCGGGGAAGGTGATGATCTTGCCCACAGCCACTCAGGTCCTAGTTCATACTAGCATTCTTCCTGTTTAGGGTCCCTCCATTAGAAGACTTTCTTTATAAGGCTGGCTAATGCAGGGTGCTAATAATATGTACCACTTCTGCATCCCAGAGGAATTCCATCTTAGCAGCTAAGAAAGTGGTATGACTGTGTCATACACATCCAGTCACATCACTCATGTTGTTAACTATGGAATCATGAGTGTCTCTGGCCAGCAGCCAGCTTTCCTCTCTTCGAGGATTCAAATGACCCAAGTTCCTGCTATCCTGTGGCTCAATCATCCTCTGTTGCCCTGATTTTGCTGACAGGAAAACCATGTGAGTTCAATATCAACTTCTGAATGTCCTCTATTTGACTGGAACACACACCATCTCCATTTAGGTGCCATCTCTAGCTATGTAGCCATCTCCTCAAAAATACTAGAAATGTAATTCTAGCTATACAACCATTCTTCAAAGACCATGTTCTTTGAAAACCAAGAAGAAAGATGCTTGACCATCTCAAATGCAAGTCACAAACCCAGGCCTTCATCATGTATGCTGTCCAAAAAATGTTGGCATAGCCTCAAAGACATCTAAGACTCTTCCTCAGGTCCTTTTGGGGACATTACTCCCTTAGAGGGGCTAACTATGTCCTCATAGGCATGATGCCTGACTCCTGTGCTAAGAATTAAGAATTCCTTCATTTTCTTCTTCCTAATTAGATGTAGTTCTGTGAAGGTGGTGAATTCACCTTTCTTGTTCATCATTGTCTCCCTGACACAATGATGTCAGGTGTGCTCAGTGAGTCCTTGAGAATGAAGAAGGATGGGAAGTAAAGAGAGAAGTGTGGCCAGGCGGTGGTGGTGCCTTTAATCCCAGCACTTGGGAGGCAGAGACAGGTGGATCTCTGTGAGTTTGAGACCAGCCTGGTCTACAAGAGCTAGTTCCAGGCAGCCTCCAAAGCCACAGAGAAACC